TGGCTATAAGTCAAGTTTAAACAAGTTTAAATGTATAAAAAGCAAGCTTTTAGCATAATAAATCAGAGCTCTCTACATCATCCTGGTGTGCAGACTCTCATTTTCGCCGACTTCGTCCCTCACCTGCTCTTCACCAAGAAACCCCTTGAGTTTCTTGTCACGACCGTAGTCGGGTGGTCGGTGACACCTATGGACTTCAAAGAGAACAAGCAGGTCTGGCTTGGAGAGGGTGAAACCAAGTTTCTCCTTGGAGGCAAGGATGTTGAAGCTTCATCTCACATACTTTGGGCATGTGGCCAGGAGGGACCAATCCTTGGAGAGGGACATCATGCTTGGAAAGGCTGAGGGTCAGCACAGGAGAGGAAGACCTCAGATGGGGTGGATTGATGCAGTAACTGGGGTAACTGGAGTAGGTGTGTCAGACTTAGTGAGATTGGCTTAGGACAGGGGAGATTTCAGAGTCACAGGAGAGTTGATGGCACATTAACAATAGTATGTATGATGTCTTCAAGGTCATGTCACAGTCAAGTCATTAGTGTGACATGCCTGTGATTCACTGTAGAGATGGCCTTAAAATTCAGAATATTCCCAAGGTCATATTTTGGCTCTTGTGAACTTGTTTTCATTTTTTTTCAACATCATCTTGAACTTGAGCTTATGAACAGCCTTTCTTCTTCAGCCTTTGACCTTGAACTCACTGATGATATTGAATATTTCCGTCTTTCTTTCCCCTTTGATGAAATCTATTTTGTTCCATCCAGCAAGGTCCATGTGTACAGTCACCGTTTGTGTTTTAAAAAGATATTTGCAGTAAAAAAGTGATTTGTCTTAAAAAATTCTGTTGCACTATTTCTTGTCTCATTTCCACCACCAAGGCTCTATATTCCAAAGATCAACCCTCCTTTTTTCCAATTTTCACATTCCAAACACTACTAATTAAAAGTACATCTGGGTTGCAGGTTTGATCCATTTCTGACTGTAGAAGTAGTCAAAAGGTTTTCATTTCTTCATTTTTGGCATTAACCAAATTGACACAATTATAGTTGTATTAACTAGTCTTTCTTGAGGACATTTGGATATTACCCTGTTACTAACAGTATATTTTAGAACTGATCTTGAATTTTCTCTTAAGTAGACGTGTCACCTTTCTTAAATTTGTAATTTCTGGCTTAATAGATCAATAATTGTATGACTCAAAATGGCCAAATCAGTCTTTGAGCTCACTAATTTGGCCCATGTTATCCATCTACTTGTTTTCCATTTAATTTGTTACAATGCCCAATTTTCCTTGATTCATATTCTGTGCACTCTACAGTTCATTTACTAATGGATGTTTCCAGACTTTCTCCTCATTTTGAGCTGAACCACATCAGCAGACAAAGGTCTCCGTTGGCTGAAAGCTTTACTGCATTCACCTCATCAAGGTGGACTGGACTTTGAGGCAAAACTTACTCCTGGATCAACAGGTAACATAATGAAGGGTGGAGAACAGACTGAAGTTGTCAACGACTGCACCTCACATGATCCACAATCAACACCCTTGGGACCAGCAGTCAGGAAACCAGGAGATGTACTGCACTGGGGAGGGAGGTCTGAAGTCAGGGATCTTCCAAATTATTGGGGAGTAATGATGTCAGTTTGAGGACAAGGTGAGTCTGATTCAGACCATGGCCTTTCCGATCACTTGCTATGAATCTGAGAGCTGGACGATGAAAAAGGCTGACAGAAGAACTGATTCCTTTGAGCTGTGGTGTTGGAGAGGTGTGCGGAACAACCCACGGACGGCCAAGAGAACAAACATATCTTGGAGAGAGTGCAACCAGAGTGTTCCTTGAAGGCAAATACAAGAAAGCTTTTTTGTTTTCCTCTCCCATACCTTGAGCATGTTGCTAGGAGAGGCTATTTCTTGGAGAGAGACATCATGATGGGAGGGGTGAAGGGTCAGCAAAGGAGAGAAGGACCCTTGACCAGGTGGACTGTGGCGGTGACTGCCGCAATGGGCTCTAGTGTGTCAGGAAGTGTGAGGACGGCGCAGGACAGGACGGGGTCAGATCTGTTGTTCACAGGGCCGATACATGGACTGTACCTAACAACAACACCACCACCACAACTTCTTTGAGAAGAAAGTGCAGCCAGGGGCACTTTGGAGGCAATGTTGGTGAAACTTTGAGTCACACATCTTGGATATATTGTTTGAAGAGGCTGTTCCTTGGAAAAGAACATCATGCTTGGAAAGGTGGAGGGTCAGTGAGGGAGAAGACCCTCAAAGAGATAGATTGAGATGGTGACGGCAGCAACAGACTGGAATGTGTTGAGGATGATGAGGATGGCGCAGGACAGGACAGTTCAGATCTATTGTCTGTGAGGTCTCTGTGAGCTACAGTAGACTGGACAGCACTTAACACCAAGGAACCCACTTCGTAAGGCAGTGCTGTCCCAGGCGCAGCACGAGTGCCTTCCAGCCTCAGCGCTTATCTTCTTGCTCTCCTTCAGTGTTCTGTTGCTATGCCTGAGGTCTTCCCTGCCCAGTTTATCTAGAAGTGGTCACAAGGCGTTTCTTCCCGGTCTTTCTGTGTGGAAGTACCACTGAGGTCTGAGCCCCAGGGGTGACTCTGTTGGCATTTTAATACAGGATTCCAGCACCCAAGCCACCACAGTACTGCAAACTGCCTAGTGCTGGCCCCCAGAAACATCCCCCCAAAAAAGGACCGGCGGTCTACTTCTGAAGTTATTATGTACGGTGGAGCCAGAACCGACCCACAGCTGACACCCCAGAGGGTTTTCAGAGGCAGTAAGGCAATGGGAGGAGACTGAGGTGCATTTTTCTCCTGACAGCACCGGTGGATTGAAACTGTGTACCTTTGTGTTGGCAACACAGTTCCTTACCACTTGGCCAGCAGAGTTCATCGTTCTGATGCAGACATGGAAAACCTTATGGAACACAGTTCTGCTCTGACACACATGGGTTCTCCACCTGTCAAGTCCACCCAAGGGACTGGAAATGCATTTAACTCCCACATGTAGAAAAAATAAAGGGGCAGTTATGCTGGGTGACCGATGAGGCAACTGAGATTGGTAAGGGTCACCCCGCGGACGGGGTTTCTCTGTCCCCTGGGGCTGTCACTGGAGGGGTCCTGCCCACCCACCCCAGCCCAGCCTCCCTCTGAGCAGACGAAAGCGCCCGCCTTAGCTCTCCGCCCCGCCCACATATAAGCCCCGCCCACAGACAGACCTCTCTCCCAACATGGCCCCGCCCCCTCACTGTCATAGGTTCTGTCCCGCCCACCGCTGAAGCCCAGTCTCCCTCAACATAGGCCTAGACACACGCTCGCCACGCCCACCTGGAGCCCCGCCCACAGACTGAAGCCTCTGCCCAATCTCCCTCCGAGCATGCTGCCCCGCCCCCTCACTGACATAGGCCCCGCCCCCAGCACGGCCAGCAGGGCGGCGCGCAGAGTGAGTCCAGCACCGAGTTCCGGGGCTCCTTGACCGGCCGCAGCATGAGTGTCCCCGCCGCCGTCCCCATCTTCGCGCCCGGCGAGAACTGCAGCCCCGCGTGGGGCGCCGCGCCCGCAGCCTACGACGCGGCGGACACGCACCTGCAGATCCTGGGCAAGCCGGTGATGGAGCGCTGGGAAACGCCCTACATGCACGCGCTGGCCGCCGCCGCCGCCTCCAGAGGTAGCCTGGTCAGCCGAGGCCCCTCTGCCGCCGCCTGCCCGCCTCAAAAGTGGGGCCACTCCTGGGGGCGGAGGGCAGGGCGATGCCCGCCTCAAAACTGGGGTCAGGGCTCGGGGGTCGGACGACGCAGGCCTGCGCGCGCCCCTAAATGCTGGAACCTCCTCTCCTCCGGAGCCCGTGGCTGCAGAAGGGGACCCGGAGCCAGGACTCCTTGGCCCCGCTTCGGGCGCCCCACCCCCTGCGCCCCGCTAAGAATAGCCCTGGGAAACCGAGAGCAGGGCGACAGCTGTGTGCTGGGGCCCTGCCTGCCGAGGGGTGCTGCGGCTCCCCGGGAGCGCAGAGTGCAGGGCCGTGGGCCTGTGTCCCTCCCCACCCCGCCCAGGGGCACACCGAGGCCCCGCACTTTCACACTGTCGCGAGGGGACGGCTCTCCCCGATTGTTGTGGCCCCGGGGCGGGCTTGAACTCAGGTCTTGCTTTGTCCAGGGAGAAAAAAGTAACCCAAACAGGATGAGCCTCCCAGATCAATAGCTTGGACACAGGCCCAAGGTCCAAGGGTCGGCCCTTGCTCTCCGGCTGGTCCTGGAAACCATGGTCACCCGGCCGGTCCTGCCACTGGCCCACGGCCAAGGCCCACGCTGTTCCTTGTGGAAGGTCGTTGTTCCAGCTGCTGGCTTCTGCTGAGCCTCGGCCCACGTGGCCTGACCCACCCCCTCCTCCGGGCTCTCAGCCCAGCACCTTCTTTCCTCTGTCCAGGCGGCCGGGTGCTGGAGGTCGGCTTCGGCATGGCCATTGCGGCCTCCAGGGTCCAGGAAGCGCCCATAGAGGAGCACTGGATCATTGAGTGCAACGAGGGTGTCTTCCAGCGGCTGCAGGACTGGGCCCCTCGGCAGCCACACAAGGTACAGCCTCTGCTTTGCACCCCCGCCAACACTTGAGAGGTGGGCATCCTCCCTGGGGGTCCCCACTCCCTCCCTTTTCACAAAGACATCTGGTAGACCTCTCTGACCTTGGTCTTCTCTCCCCTAAGGTTGTCCCCTTGAAAGGCCTGTGGGAGGAGGTGGCACCCACTCTACCAGATGGTCACTTTGACGGTGAGGGGCTCTGAGGGTGGAGGGGAGACGCATCCCTAGGTTGCACACGGGGCCTCCCACTCCCAGGGGCCATGCTGGTACAGATTTCCACCACATTCCCCGCGTCCTGATTGCAGAAGGAACTTCTAGGACTTGATCTCTGGAATGGGATCCTGTTGGGCTGGAGCCGGCCAGGAGGGAAGGGCACGCAGGGGTGCCCACTAGGACTCCTGTAACAGCCCTTGCCTACTCTGGCCTGACAGGCAGATGTCTGTCCCCCTGCAGGAATCCTCTATGACACGTACCCACTGTCCGAGGACACCTGGCATACTCACCAGTTCAACTTCATTAAGGTGGGCAGTGAGGCCCCAACACCGGGAACTGACCTTGCTGTCCTCACGTGTGGGGTGCTGGGTGGCAGGCAACCCACCCACCCACCCATCATAGCCACTGACTGCTGTTGTCCACAGGGCCACGCCTTCCGCCTGTTGAAGCCTGGGGGTGTTCTCACCTACTGCAACCTCACATCCTGGGGGGAGCTTATGAAAACCAAGTACTCAGACATCACTACCATGTTTGAGGTGCGGTGCCCGAGCTCCACAGCCCCCCGCTGGCAGGGACACTGGTCCGGGGGCACCTCTGGGGTTTCAATGTCCCAAGTATCACACGAGTGGTCATCCTGCCACTCTGGAGGCCGTCTCAATCCTGGGCATCAGCAGGCTTGCTCCCTGAAATCTTGAGGGAAGGCTCCTTCCTGGTCCCCCAGCTTCTGGGTCTCAGTCACCCCTGGGCTAGTGTCTGAAGGTCCTTACTGTACAGAATTGGGGCGCACCCTGCTCTGGGGTGACTGCCTGTTAACAATTCTCACCTATGAAGACCCCAGTTCCAAGGGAGATCACGTTCCAAGGTGCTGGGTGAACACGAGTCTCGGGAGATGCTATCAGTGCAGTAAAGGTGGCGTGGGCGTGTGTGTCCTCCTCAGAACGCAGGCAAGCGTGCCCCAGTGGTTCCTTTTACAGCTCCCCAGTGCCCCTGGGATTCTGCCCAGGTTACACTCCTATCAGTCTGGCCCATATCCAGAGGCAACCTAGCAGAGGCCAAGTCCCGGGCAGCTCCTGAGAGCCAGCCAGGCTTCAGGGGCAGCAGGGACATGGATGCTTTTCTGTACAAACACCTGGCCCACAGGTGGGAAGCTGGAGGGTCTCTACCCCAGGGGGCTGCTGCTGCCTGCTTTAAATACCGGGACACTTGGGGCTCAGCCCTTTCTCCAGCCATCAGGTGCCCCTGGTCAGGCGGGTCTGATGCCCAACTCCTGACCTCACAGCACACCTGGTGCCCTCTCCCTGCCACCCCAGGAGACACAGGTGCCTGCACTGCTGGACGCAGGCTTCCGGCGGGAGGACATCCGCACAGAGGTGATGGCACTGGCCCCGCCGGCCGACTGCCGCTACTACGCCTTCCCGCAGATGATCACGCCCGTGGTGACCAAGTGCTGAGCCGCAGGCCCTGCTGGCCTCCAGCCGCTCCATGGTGCCCACCCAGTGCTTTGTGACCAGCATGGGCCTGGCTTCCAGCCAGTGGCACCCCGCTGGCCGTGACACCAGCCACTCCCGTCTGAGTCCTGGTGGGAGCCTCCTCCAGGGGTTTTGAGGCTGAAATAAACCAACACTGCACCAGGCCAGTAGGTGCTGGGCAAACATGTGCTTTACTTTTCCATCTGCTCCAAAAAAATAAAGCCATGGGCTCAGAGGGAGACGGGTCAAAGCCTGCGGTGGCTTCCGCGGCCATGCCCCAGACAGACATCACCAATCAACCACAGACAGTGCGGCTCCTTGGGGTCTCAGCCAGCCCTTCAGGATCAGGTGACCAGAGTTGGGAGGAAAGTTACCCACTCTCCCAGTGTGCGGCAGGGTTTCTGGTTTGGGGGTCTCTGCCCGCAGCACGCCAGCATCTCCCATTGTGCAGCTGGGTTTCCGAGGAGTTCACCCAGGCCCAGACCTGGGGGTCTCCCATTCCCAGCCACGTAGGGCCCTCCTCCGTGAGTGGCCCCTGGCTTCGTTCCCAGCACATGCTGGGCATCCCCAGCCCAGAGCCAGTCTCCCTTCTCTAGTGCAGGGGCACAGGTCACTGAGGTCCCGTCTATCCAAGTATTCTCATGCGCACTGGTCACTGTGCTGACCATCTTGTGACCCACCCAGTCCCTCTGCTGGTCCCACAGATTGTCCACCTGGCCCCCTGGACCTGACCATCCCCCCTTCCCACCAGCCTGGTGACAGGTCTGTTAAGTGAACGTAGGTCAGTGATGATGACAGGGTAAGTTGTGACAGGACTCTGGGTCCCCATCGTCACGAGTCCCAGAAAACTCTACGTCCATAGGAGGGCCTGGACCTGCTCCATCTCCATCTCCCTGGGGACACCAGTGAGGGGCTCGGGGTGGACTGTCAGGTTGGAGGGCACGAGGTGCCCTTTCCCTGAGCCACTGCCCATCCCGACTCTACCCAATGAGTGTAGTCAGCTAAGCACACAGTGCAGTGACCGGCCTTGGAAAGAGGGGAAAGTAGGAGTGGGAGGGCCCCAAAGTCCCAGCAGTGACTTGTCAAGTGGAGGGAAGGCACTGTCCAGAGATGCCCCACAAGGCCCAGCTGCTGCAGGGACGGAGGGCTGGGGGGTCCAGGGCTGCCCCTTTGGGGTCCCGACTGCCTTGCCCATCAGAGCCTCAGGCCCACCCCGAGGCTGCCCTGCCCCCTGTGCCCAGGCAGACACACCACGCTGGCTGCAGGGACAGAGTGGTGGGCTGGGTTTATTAATAACCTTGGAGGACGGTGAGGGAGGTGGACAGTCCAGCTGTGGCGGTAGCACTACCTGCGGTACCAGATCTTGAGTCTCTTCTCCCGCTTGATCTTCCTCTGAAGTTGCAGGATGCCGTAGAGAAGGGCCTCTGCCGTGGGCGGGCAGCCTGCAGGCAGGGGACCCTGGTGACCCTACGACCCCCGCCTCTGCTGTGGGTGGGCAGGGTCAGCCTCCGGGACCCCCTGCTCGTGCACCTGGCTGCCCGCACTGCGCTGTCTGCACTGCCCACACCTGTACCAACCCAACCACCCAGTATTGTCCTTGTGCAGACGCAGGGGACTTCGGCGGGGGGGGTGTCCTCATACTGGCTGACTGGCTGTCCCAGGTGGGCAGACAGAGGGTCGTGGGCAGTGGGACAAGGGACAGAGACAGATCTGAGCTGCAGGGGACCCCTGGTGGGGGAAGAGGCCATGGCGACAGGGGTCCCAGGGCTCACAGGCTCCGAGGGGGCAGGGGTACGAGGGAGCGTCATGCCAGCTTTCGGTTTATTCAGAGTATTTTGGAGCAAGTCTGTTTCAATACCACCTGGCATATGCTCAGACCCCCACGTCACCCCTCTGTCTGCCACGTTTTGTTCTGTTCCTCTAACGGTGGCCTGTGGCCCCTTGCAGACTCTGGGATCCTGCCGATGGTGGGGTCTTGCCCATGAGGTCCTGCCCTTAGCGTGCCCGCCCTCCAGGTGTGCTCACGGGTCTTGTCACAAGGGAGAAGCCAGGACCCTGGGTGTGAAGCTGCACCCGCCTGTGTGGACCTGGGGCAGGGGGACGGCTCCCCGTGTGCGGGCCTTACCTGGGACGTAGATGTCCACAGGCACGATGCGGTCACAGCCCCTCACCACCGAGTATGAGTAGTGGTAGTACCCTCCGCCGTTGGCACAGCTGGGGGAGAGAGGGGCAACTGAACACGGCGCTCCACCAGCCCGCGTCGGGGCCCCCACCAGACCCACCAGCAGAGGACGAGACCAGGAAGGGAGCAGCCGGGCTTCTGGGGCCAGGGATGCTGAGGCCTGAGCCTTTAAAACGGAAACCAACAACCTTCTCTGTTTAAAACCACACAACAGCTTAGTATTCAGGAACACCCGCCCTGGCCAAGTGCACGCCCTGATCTCTGTGGCCACCCTGACTGGTGGTCAGTGGAAGGTGAGGAGACGCTGAGGGCGGGGAGGGCAGCTCCGGGGCACCCACTCCGAGAAGGAGGCTGAGGCCCCAGTAGCACTGAACCAGTGTGTGTCTTGGAGCATGTTCCCAACAGGTCAACTCCGTTACAAGGGTGAGGACATGCCTCGTGAGGGGCAGAAGGGTGGCCAGCCGGGCTGTGGTCATGGAGCGGTGACTGAGTGGACACGGGAAGGCTGGGGGACAGTGGCGACCCGTTAGGGAGATGGTCAGATGTCACCACTGCCCACTTTAAACGAGCCACGTGATGAAGAGTGGACGGTGATGGAGTCTGTGCACAAAGTACAGCAGAGCAGAGGGGAGCGGGGGGGGG